TTGTCAAGTGTCACTCTACCTCCTTCACATGATGCTACACTTACCAATGCAGCTCTAGTGCAGAAACAAATATCAATCAAACAAACACCCATTACACATCTAACTTAATTGGCATTCAGTTTCAAAATAACCCTGTCCTTCCCATGATTTAGAATCTCTACCGGCAGCAGCACCTCCAGAGATGTGCATGTGATAGCATGCATGAATGAAAGCGCCATTAAACCATGAGAATTTGCCACAAGCTGTTTGCCATGACTTGTGAAGGAAGGCAAAAGATTCTCCATTTACTTATACTGTCCTTCCTACTGTTAGTGTCTGTTAAATGGCTACAGCATTCAGGAACCGCAACACTACACTATACAAGGCAGCAGCCCCTGATCTGACTAGGTTTCTGTAAAGATCTGCTCATAACAGTTAGGCCAGCAGTGCAGACAGGATTCTAGCACAGAGTACAGCTGTGTCCAGACAAGGCTTGTTAGAAAATCAGTAATGGCAGGGTTAGGGAAGGACTATTTCATGTGAGCAAAACAAGCAAGAACACGGAGTGAGCCAGTAAATCTCAAAGAAGCGAGCCCCGAATACAGCAAATGTGAAGTCTGAAGAAGCAGCATGCCCATGTGACTCTGCAGATTAACAGGAGGAAAACCAAAACACCAGCATAGCTGAAGGAAACTGCTCCCAAAGATCTGCAGCACCAACAGACAGGCTTTGCAGGCACTGCCACAACTCCCTCCAGTGCTGGATTCCTGATTTCTTTTTCAGCCATGCCCCTCCCAGGCTTCTCAGCTCACACAAATGCCCCTTATCTTCATGTCTGCCTGTTTACTGAAGACTGACAGGTGTGGTGACCTGCTTTATTACTTCTGCAGGACATAGCTTAACTTACCAAAGTAATACATTGCAGGAGACTGTGTTGTTACAAAAGAGCAGCTCTCTATCAGTAACAAAAAAGAGAGTCCTCTGAGGAGTAAAGTTGGCCTGAAGGCCCTGTCTGTGGCTAAAAACACATGGAAAATTCCTAGTTAACTAAGCGATCCCAGCAGCAGATCAAGACTACTGGATAATCTACAGCTTGTTTTTCTCCTTGACTGGTTTTCACAGAACCAGAGCTGTGTTGTTTGGAAAGGAAGTGGGGAGGTCCCCTGTCCAAACTCCCATTTGGAGCACAGCTATCACTAACATGAGTAGCTGGCTCGAACTTCCCTCTCTTTGTGGACTACAGCAATATATGACCGTGCTATCTCCCAGACTGCACTTAAATACAGCCAGAACATACAGGACAGAAGCAGTCAGTTACCCTCCTTGTACACGGTGTTTGGTATCCCAAAGAGCCTGTTCTCAAAGTTCAGCTGTGTTAAACAGTCTATATGGAAAAGTACAAGCACATACTGGGGCTAACCTGCCTAGATCAGCTAACTACATGTCACTTCTCCCTTCTTTTTAGGTCTCTATCATCTCAGTTCATATATGGATGAATGGAAGTGTTTTCAAGTGAGAAAGGGAGGCACGTTGAGCCTCATACAGCCGCCTGCTACACCTATCTCTAAATTACATATAAAATGCTTTCATGCTGCTCAGATCGTGAGTATTCAACTCCTTATCAATTCAACCTAGGAATTATGAAATAAAGAAAGGAACACAGCAAGGAGACCTTCAAATCATACTGACTGCAGTCATAAAGCATTTTGCTGAGTATGTAGCTCTCTGGAAAGGTGTGTCACACTTCAAAGCCGGCCTGCAGCCGGGGACCTGCACACCACCCCAAACATAAACACAACCACAGTGAAGCAATTCCCGCTTATTGGGACACCTGTGGCTCACAGGGTCCATTTGGCTACATGTGCTCTTTAAAAATCAACATAATTGAAACAGGCAACATAAACAGAGGAGGTCAGAATCACCTGCAAGTACTTTACACCAATGCAAGACCATTGCTACCATTCACTTCAAATAGCAAAAAAACACGATTAGCACGAATTCAGCCAGGAAAGTAGGCAGAACCTCCCCCATGATACATCTGGAAGCAGCATCACAAGATTTACAATTAAGATGTGCAGTCATGACCACACTAAGTTACGACTGCAGGAGCAGGGCATGGGGCTACCCACAGGCACCCATGAACTGAGTGGCCACAGAGGAGACAGTTCCTGAGCCTTGCAATCACGTCCCTAATCAGAACACACCCAGAGGTCACCTCTGCCATAAAGAGGTGTCCAAGGCTCTTGTCATTCGTTTGAAAAAGACTTTTTTTCATATAAGGCCACATCGTGCAAAGAAGTCACAATCCTTCTGTTTAAGGAGCACACTCCTTAAGCTACTTCAGGCTTTTGTCCCACAACACCAAGTCCTCCAATTTAAAGAGGGCAAAAGCCAGTCAAGTGTTGGAGGCTGTGAACGTGAAAGGATCGACCTAGAAGGAACCTAAGAGAAGAAACTTCTCAACCTGCAAAGCCTTAGCTTAGCAAGTATGGATGCAGCTAAGGCCACAGCTTAGTACAAGGCAGAGCAGAAGCATGTACTGACGATTACCTGCCTACTTCATGTATCTCCATCTGGTGAATCCTCCTGCCAAGCTGCCACTGCTACCCATGGGGGTGCCAAACATGGAGTACTTGAGAGAGGGCTAGAATGGACTTGGTTGCAACAGAATTCTACACATTTAGCCTGTTTCAAAAGCCTGCAGTCAGCAACTGGGTCTCCTGACACTTATCCTCCACAGGTAAAACTTCCAATTTCTTCATAAAGGGCCTGTTGGTTGTAATTTTTTTTCCTAGATTAGACAGAGCATACAAAGATCTTACCTAGCACAAACTTCTTTCCAGAGGAGAAAAAAGTTCATTAGTGGAAGAAAAAGGGAAAAGGAGGACTTAAAAACAGCCATGGGAAGATAGGGTGAGAGAAAGAGTGCAAACAACATTGTTTTTGCAAGGCCACCAAAGAGTGGTGAAGGCCTTCAGTGAAGTGCTGAGAGCCTTCCAAGAGCACGAGATCTCAGCTCAAGGTGAACCAAGGTTTTTATTTACTTTCACTGCTGACAACAGCCCCCCTCCTCACTGCAATGGTAATTTCCAACCAAATATGGAAACAGCCACCTTGTTAAACTAAATTATTGAGTTACCTTATCATAAGATAAACACAGGAGCAGTTTCTGCGGACAGCTGACCTGCTGTGAGTTGTCCCTGTAGCAGTATCTCACTAGGAGGTTGATGGGACAGTACAAACTGTTGTGACCTCTTCTTCCCATTTGCTCGTGTGTTTGCTCATCGAGACAGTGAGGCTATTGCTCTTTAACCTGTCTGAGAAACCTTTTTGCCTAACATAACCTCAAGATTCTGTGAAACCCTCTCACATTCATATAAATACATATTAAGAAACCTACTTGAAAGCACTCATGTTGAAATTAGTCTACAATTCCTTTGTTTAAAGTTTGCTACTGTTCTACAAAGGCTGTCTGCAGTAGCGGTAGAATTGCTCAAGTACAGCTCCTGAAATGTGAAATAAAAAACAACAACAAAACAAGGACTCTATCAACAGGGCAACGTCTGCATGCTTTTCTTCTGCATAAAAACGAGATTGTTTTGTACATAGTTGTCAATTAGTTTTTCCAGCATGGGATGACTCCTCTAATAAATTAAAATATTCATGAGAGCAGATGCACTCAGCAAGCTTTTCTGGAGGAACAAATGAGATCAACCTGAAAAAACATTGTTTGGCTGAACACAAGCACCAATAGCAAAATCACCGTACTGCATTTTTTTTCTCTCAAATGCCTCCTTCCCCTGTGGTTGAAAGCATCCAGGAAAATTTATCCTGTTATCGAGTGTTGTGAACTAGTCACATGCAAGAGATTTAAGCCACCCAGCCATGGCAATGTTGCTAGTCCACCAGAGAGGACTAACCATGAGCTGTGCTGACACCAAGACCCCCAAGACTGCTGAAATCATGTCATGCTTTATAGACCAAATTCAGTACCTGAGAGGTTTCAAAATGCGAAATTATTTTAATAAGTTTGTTTACATTTCAAGCAAACCATCAAACTTTGTTAAAATTCACTTTATCTCAAAATCACAGACTCAAATATTCTGCGAAAATAGTTACAACTAACATTAATCCAACTTGGACAAACTAGCATCTGGAATGATTTTACTGATTTCTGCAACTCATTGACAAAAAAACCCACCAACCTACCCAAGTAGTAAACAGAAAACAATTACTATTTAACCTTTATCTCAAAATATCTTTTTGAAGTTAATTAACAAAAATAAACAACTCTGTACTTAAAATAAACGATGTAAAATTACAAAGCTCTTACGCAACCCGTAGTATAATCTGTAACAAATAGAAGTTTTTCCTTCAACTGTGAGCCTGGTTACAGACCTGTAAATAAAAGACTAGTGATAAAGTCTCTGGCAGCCAGCATGCCAAGGGGAGATCTGCTGAGCTGGACTCAATTTCATCATAGAAACCTGCACACAGCAACTCAGAGTCAAAAAAAAAAGTAAATTACCATGGTTATTCAGAAAAGAGGATACTATGGCTGCTACAGTGAAAAGCACATATATAAGAATTTGTACAAAATATGGGCTGACAGATAAATGGTATTTTAGGAGTAAGAACATCAGAGATTTGGATTTTTCCCTTCTGAAAATCCATCAAGTGCAGCTACAGAAGGAAAAGAAACTGTTAAGTTCAACAAAACTCTACAAGTAGAACAAGTATTTGCTTTTGGAAAAAAAAAAAGAACATAATTCTAAGCAGTCAAAGCAGTTGTGACTATCCAAATCTGTGACTCTGGAAAGAAAACATATGAAGCAAGTAAGAATTGGCCAATACCTCTCCTTCTTACACAAATTTAAAATAAAAGCTTTCACATTTCCATTGATGCGATTTAACAGTCAGAAGAGCAAAGAGGGGCTGGGACAAGTTTGATTAGTCAACAGTGAATGTTCTTAACAAAGCTTTATTAACTGGTTATTTTGCTTCCTGAATGTAAAGTGGTAGAAAGAATGAATTGTAATACAGGGATAGCAAACTAACTTTTTTTTTTTTGACTAAGAGCAACCAAAATGCATCATTCTGCTTTTTAGAGCAAGCCATTCTAATGCAAAGCTGATCACATTAATGTTGTAACTTTGTAACAGCCCATGGAGACAAAACAAATTAACACTTTGGCCTCTTTTTAATATCATCCTATCTGAGGTCTGGGAAGTAAGCAGAAGTTGTTAGTAATTAGCTGTGGCCTTTACTAATAAAATTATATTAATCTTCCAACGTTAGATCTTGAGATAGAGGTGGCAGAAGCACAAGAAGATACCAAAAATAGTTGAGGATGTTTTTAGCTATGAACCAGAAGCTTCCTGTTTTATGTAATAATCACAGAGCATGAAATTCTGATGATCTGGAATGTTTTGAACTTACTTTTACTTCACTCATGTTTAAGCCCAAATGGCTGACATTGTCTAAAAGTGACATTAAATGAAGGGCAGCTACGAGTATAGCAGGAACAGATGTGTTCCTCAAAGTGAAAATCTGAAGAACCTTCTCTTTTGAAATACAGGTTAAAAAAAAGTACTATCATATTGCATTAACAAAATTTTTATTCAATACACAGCTCTTCTATTTGATGGGGAAGGAGACAAACATATCCCTTAAAGAAAAGCCCTGAACACCAGAGTACTTCTCTACTGCTTTAGAGTTGATGAGCATGCTCCCATTTCTCCCAGACTTTGTAAAAAACAAAAAAAATTGGCAAGAACTCCTGGAAGAGTGCCTTATCAGGAAAGGCCAGCCCGACCACTTGCTATTTCAGTTCTTCCAGCAATGGCTTATTTGTGTGCAATGAATAAGCAGATGCTAGATATGATTAGAGTACAGCACAGTGAATAAATACGACCCACAGGCTGGGGTGGAACGGCAGCAATCCATCTTTGCAGGTGTTTAAATTACATGCTCTCAAAAGCTTAGGGATTCTGCATATCAACCTTGGTTCTAGCAAAGTTTGAAAAAATAAAAATCATCAGTATAAAAAAAAATTGCTGTAACAGGCTTCAAAGAGCTCCACGCTCCTCTTTATTTCAACGGAGATGATTAGTTAAGGTGCTTTAGAATTCTGCATGGCAGACAAGCTGGCAAAGGTGGCTGTTTAATAAACTCTACACAGTCTTGAGAGGGCATCTGAGGGCAGTTCCTGAGGCAGAACTGCTGAACTGCTAATTTCTGTAGCGGGGCATCTGTGGAGCAGGGGCTCCCTCTAAGGGGGCTGAGGAGGAGACTGTCATAAGCTGTCCACCATGAATTCTCTCATTCACCCGCAGGTCACAGCCATCCTGCAGCATCCTTATAGCTATCCTTGCAATGTTTTTAGAGTCATCAAGTCCACTGTGAGGTCTCCCATCGTAATTCATGCCCAGCTTTTCAAGCATGATTGTCAGCTTGGTCTGGTTCCTAGGAACCTGATGGAGAAAGTGAGTAACATTCAAGGATTAATTTCTGTACCAAGTCTTTTTAATCTAACACAGCGCAGTAGAAACACATGCAGATTTTAAGTCTACTTAAGTCACATATACTTTCATGTTGCCTTCTGTCAGATCACTAACCATTTAACTTCAAAGTGCCTTGGTGAGACAGACACTCTCATTTTTACAGAGACATAGTCAACAGGAGCTTGTCTAGACTCAGGATGATGTTAAGAGCCTCTCACCAGCATCAGCTCAAGATGCGCCTGCGCTGGCAAGGGCGGAAGCCAAGGCCTAGATGGGTTTAACATTCTTAATAAAAAACAAATTACCACCCAATGTGGCATTGCAGAGGGAATCAGATTTCGGTTTTCCTTTCAAATGCTAAGTGATTAAGGAAGCACAGGCTCCTGGTTCTCACTGACATCAAGCTCCTGAATGTTTCCAACCACCACAGCAACAGATCAGCAACACCTATAGCATGTTTACATGGATGACTAACAGAACAAACATACAAGGAAACTTTACTGACTTACCCATACAAAGTGCAACACCAGTTAAAGCCCCAAGTCTTCTCTTGATTAACTACTAAATACACACTTGTTCTTTGGAAACATCAAAGAAAAACAGAAGGATAACTTTAAATGAAAACTTTAGCTGGTTCTTTTGGTGATGGTGGTGGTTGGGGTGGGGGAACATGGGCCATGACAAGTTCCAGGATATTGCACCATACTACTGGATTTAATAGGTAGGCAGAATGGCAACAGCACAGTTACCAAAACCTGGCAATATGCAACTCCAATAATAACACAAAAAACTGGGCAGGGGATGCATATTGCAAGTTGTGGGATATTCCACAGAAAAGCTACAGTACATTCCTTGTCATCAATTTTATCTATTACTTAACAACAGATTCAACAGCAGCATGGAATAGCTAAACAGAAGCACTGAACAACTATAAACGCTACAACTGTTTACATATATTTAAAAAAACAACACAAAAAAACACAAAAAAAGAAACCAATTTCTTCCAAGCTACAATCTTCATTGCCTCTGATGATGCCTTAATAGAACAGGAAAAAGAAGGTTTGTTTAGGTTAAAGCTGATAGGATTAACAAAACTGTTGTGTCCTAGCATGTTTCCAACAGAAACCATCATGTAGAGAAGGCACAATAGTAGAGGGAGAAATGGAGTAACCCTGTAATATTTGCCCAACACAAAGTAAAGCTCTTTTCTTATTAAATGTCAATCTCTTTTTCATCTAGACGTTACATTTAGTATGAAAAAGCTCTTCAAAAGAAGATCAACAGCAAGGCTGAAATCACATTTAAAAAAAGTGGTTTAGGGTAGGCTGACTAGGAATTTGCTAGAATCTCAAGTAACTCATTTTATGGTAATCTGACAGAAAGCAGCAATAAGGTCCAGCACTGAACTTGGTATTACTTTTCTCCCGACAATTTGATTCCTCTGTAGATTTATCCTAATCTTTCTCTGTCCTTTTTACACTGTCAAAAGTCAAGATTATCTGAGGGTAGTGGTGCAAATTAGTTCTGTAGTGTATTACATGAAAACAGGAAAAAATAATTGAAAAATCAATATAGAGTCTTTTCAGCTGAACTACTTCAAGACACACTTAATCTAAGAGGGTCAGTACGATATTTTTATACAATCCTTCACAGAGCACATCCTGAATCTTAAAAATAAGATTAAAATAAAAATGCAGTAGATTATATGATCTTCAATTAGTGAAGTGAGATCTGGACATGAAACACATTTGAAAATGAGGCCCCAGGCAACTAGTTTAAGTACTATCATTTTATACTACACAAGCAGAGATGAGAAGCACAACAGGACATTCCAGACTTTTAAATAAAATTTTCCCATAAGAGAAACAACAATTTGTACAAACCTTATAGAAGTTCCCATATGATTTGCGAATATTGATCCACTTTTTGGCAAAAGAAGGGTATTTGATACGGCTAACACGGCACTGGATGTTCAAAAATTTACTCATATCCCAAGATCTTAAAAAGTTAAAAAAGAAAAACATTAGTAATATACAATTCCATATTCTATATATTGCATAGCCATAGCACTAAAAGCTGTCTTGTCTCTGGTAATCAGTAGAAGGAAAACAGTTTAGGAAAAACTCTTTTGCTATAGTCATGGTAAGGAATTTTTTAACATGAATTTGTTCGTAGGGGAAAAAAAATGACAGGAGCAACATTTTCATTAGGATGTTAAAACAAAAAAGTGCCCACTACTCCACCTACCACATCTACTCCAAAAACTGCATATAAATTAGATGCTTACACAGCCCTTGGGGAAGCAAGTGACACCTTAAATTTTCCTGATTACTTAGGTACGCACACATCTCTCTACTTCACATAGGTTATTGAAGCAAGACTGCACTTAGTTTTATGAGAAACCAGATCTTTATGAAAAGATGAAACTGTAATCCTACACACTTGTAGCCTGCTTTCCTGAAGAGAACCACTCCAACAAGTTTGTAAGCTTCAAGCTAAAATAAAGCTTCTTTTCTTATCTCTTTTAGCTGTTTACACAATCTCACATATATGACAGAGATTTCACTGCAGGTATTTTCCTTAAGGAATTTCACTGAGAGGATTCCTCTGGAGGGGATGTCCAAAGACATTTAGGCCCAGTAATATAACCAGTCTTGCACAAGTTTTGCTTTAGCATCTTCTTTTTTATATTCACTGTTGTTTCCAAAGATAGCAATGTAATTACAGGTTAAAAATTAGTCAAATAGAATTTACTACAGTTCCTTAAATTAATTAAAGTTGAAATGGCATTACGTTAACTTCTTATCTTTACGGTGTATGTGGATCTATACTGTACACCTCAAGTCTTGTGTGACAGCTTTAAAAATGGCTGCACTGTTTACACTGGACACAACAACATTTCAGTGATGCCGGTTCTTAACCAGAAAAGGCCTGTGACTCACAGTAATTGCCTAAATCTTCAGGAATTTTGAGAAAAAGGTCTCATGACCAAAAATAACTTCTCACTTGTTAATTTAGTTAGGTTAGTTATAAAACTTTAGTTATGTACCCATTTATCTACTACGATACATTATTTTTCAAACTACTCACACTATAGAATATTTATCTGTGTTTCACTTGATAGAAGTATTAGAAAGTTTTACTAAGATTTCCCAAGCTCTTTTTTCATAAACTCTGATTTTGAGTTTATGCACTCCTACTGCAGGCAAACATAAAAATGCATCATTCACCTTAACACAACTCATGTTAAAAACTCCCTGTCCTACTTAAATCATTCCAAGAGAAGGATAAAAGCAGGTATGCTAACAGAATAGTAATGTTTCACAGCTAAAAGGCAAGCATCACCTGCAAAAAAAATCCCTGGCCAGTGCTATACAAGACAAGGCTCAAACACTGTATTTCACCATATAACAAAGCTAAGATCACAAGAACAATATTGCATCACAGTTGTGCCTAGATCTCATGATCTGTTCACTTTGCAGTCATTAGGGGACTTGATTTTCCACACAGACCTTGTGAGAGAGTGAGTAAGTTCAGGTGGCAGTTTGAGGGACTAGTCAATTCCTCACACACAAAGTTTGTCAGAGCTGGGACCCACCAGAGCCACAGCCCTCTAAGCCAAAGCAGAGAAGTTTCCACACTAGCCATTTCTCTTTGTTCCATAAACATCACAATCCATTACTGTTTTCTGGCAAAATATGCAAGATGTATTAACATTAACACTAACACTCACAGAGGACACTACAGCACGACCACCACACATCTCTGAAGCCTCAGGGCATGGAAGTCGCTTAGAACTGAAATTGCACGGTGATGCTTTCAGGTATTATGTGCTATATGAAAGCTAGACATAAACGAAGAATTACAGCAACAGCAAAGCATAAGAAGTCTGTTCAACAGCACTGCGTTGGGTACAGACCGCTAGGAAAGAAACAGCGCCATCTGACGGATTTAAGCGTCATTTCAAATAGTTTAGTTGAGCTTTGCCCATTTTCCCAAAAGCTTCAATCAAAATGAAACAGCAAAATGGCAGTGTCCTGATCCACCTTTAACAATACTCGCACAAATATTAAACACGGTTTCACAGTTTTAGATTGTGCTGAAGGTTGCATAGGGACATACCCGTCTGTCAACATGGAGTAGCTATACTTTGTTCCCAGCTCTCGCTGTCTCATCCACTCCACGACATTCTGCAGAACTTGAGGAAAAGTATCAGCTTTATCAACAACGTCCTAGGAGAAACAAAGAACCCCAAAGTGAGGAACATTTTTTCAGGAAAAAAACCCCAAACCAGCGTGAACTGTAAAAAGTATATTGGTATATGGGTACTTACAAAGTTGGCTTCACCAAAATCTTTAGAAAACCAGATTACACATTAACAGACAACTGTACAGATTTGTCTAAATTTAAAAAATAGCACTACAAAAGCATCATTAGAAGAGCCAACCTCCTAACAGCTTCTGCAAAGGTAACAAGGTTAGTCAGCAGCTGAACTTTGATTAAAACCTTTTGAGCTTGTTTCCCAGGCTCCTGCTCAAGTTACCTGACCACAGGCAATTGCCATCCTAAGACTCTAAACTCTCTTGAATTAAAATCTTAGAAAAGGAACTGATGCAATTCAAAAGGTGCTTTGCTCTGCTAAAGAATAAGTTTCTACATATGAATTACAAAGCGAGTGCTTTTCCCTACAAAATAACCAATGTAGTGAAATCAATTAGGTGATATTGGGAGGAAGAAAAAAACAAGGATTAAGAGAAGAGGCCCTACAGAAAAATAACCATGAACGATTACCATTTAAGATTACCAGTCTGAAAACATCAACACCACATCACACTTTTTTTCATATTTTATCCTGAAGAAATTAAAGTGCAAATTACCTGGGTTATTCCAGTCAGATTGATGCAGAAGTTTGAAAGCTTGGGATTAATCTCTGGCTTCACGTACTGCTGAAAGCTATCCTCCTGTAATGAGAGAATCAAATGCTCAGTTGTAGCACACTGTGTAGCCCGCAACGCAACTTTTCTTTGGCTTGCCTACAGCCCAAAGGCAATAACAGCTACTTGTCCTTCTGGATGCAAAAAGGAGCGTGTACCTCCTGAGCCAGTATGAGCCTCCTGACTGGCCATCATCAGATTCCTAATGGGATGGATGGCTTTCCAACCAAAACACGTCCTTCCTCTCAGCTAGTAGGCATCATAGAGCAGGAACGTGGATTTAAGAGGGGAGAAGGGCAGACTGCAAAAAAGGGGAGGATTTGGGAAAAGGAGAGTGTGAGTAAGGAAAAAAGAAAAGAGGCATGAGCAGAGCCTTATGTCTTTTAGGTGGTATCTAAAGGCTCACCTGCAATTCAAGGAAAGCAACTGGCCACACATCTCAGAGGCTGCATGCAAGTCCTACACCCCTGGATGCCAGCCAGGCAAAGATAAACATGACCTCACTCTGGGAAACTGAGCAATACAGGAGTGAAGACTGTAGGTAAGTTTCACGGAAAAAAACAAGTCCCACATCCCTGCTACTACAACAGCACAAAACCTTTTGGACAGAAGAAAAGACGCAGTGCTTCCTACCACTCTAAAGGTAATAAAAACAATCTTGGTAATCTGCATAATCCTCCTTCTGCAATTAGTCATACATGCAGCTACATTCTAATGTAGCATCACAGTGATTACTGGAAATCCTCTTCCTCTTAGTTCTTGATAAATGAACCATTAGTCAGAGGTGTGTGCACATCCTCTGTTTCACTGAGTCACTCAGTTTCAGTTAGACAGCAAGAAGTTTTTCCTAGAAGAAAGCTGTACCGGAATAGAGCACTTGAAGCTGCCTAATGCCTACAAAGTATGTTTAAAATCTGTCAGGTACGTTGTAGAAACAGTGTAGCCTGACATAAGCGGAGTTCACTCAACCTCACTTTCTAGACATCTGCATTAGTGTCTTCTAGACTGCCTCACACAGGACCACAGAATTTGCTAATTTTTGATTACGATGAATTCCTTGATTCCTAGAAATAGATTTGTGGATCTTAAAGCTGGTAAAGGCAGGCCAGGGGAGAACAGACACGGATGACTGAGAATCTCATATCAAGAGAGGGAGTCAACAACAGAAGGACCCATTCCAGATGCTTTCAGAATAGACAGAAAGTTTTGTTTGTACTTAAGAGGCACAGAGAATAGATCTTCATGGAAAAAAGTATGCTGTTTTTAATGAAGTTCAACATCTACCTAAAAACTAATCTAGACTTTCAGAGGCAAAGAAGTTACACCAAAGAACAGCAAACCAACACAGCAATTAGATCACTTACTATTTCCAGGGTATGTGTGTTTACTAAGACAACAGGAAACTCAATTATTTCATGTACAAATTCAGGTGGGTTTCCTTCTTCACATGTTGCTTCAAAGTCAACGACACAGATGTAGTCATAACAGCTCTGTCCACTAATCTGTTCCTTCTGCATCAGCTTCTGTTTCTTATAATAGTTTTTCAGTCTCTTTTTCAGTACATCTTTCACTCCTCTGAAGAGATAAATGACAAAGATCGCACTCTCGTTTAATTAATTATTTCCCCACTGTAGAACAGAAGCTGTATTTAACATTTGAAAGTTCATGTATTAACCTCATTTTGAACATCAACACTTGTGAAGTCTGAATTCGACTTTATCATACAGTTAATGATCCATTATCTGGAATAACACAGAGGCTGTGATACCCCCCAACAACTAACACATCAAGATAATACCAGGGACAGACTGGGAAGCACAGCACAGAGACAGTGCAGTCACCTCTAGTTCAGCAAGACTCAGTAGCCAAAGCCTTTGCAAAGCCCAAGTCTTTGTAGATTGCTGCCAGATGACCTCTGGCCCTGGAAGCAGTACTGCTTCACTTGTATTTCCCTGCACACTGCCTGAAGTAACTCACGCCTGAGGTCTTTCTGCCTCAGTGGCACAGACAACGCAGAACCTAGCTAAAACCCCCACATTTTAAATTCCTCTCAATTTAAATTCAAAATAGAGTTCGAATAACCCAATTAAAATAAAGCACTCGAGATTTCAGTTGTCAGAAAAACTTCCTGGTCAAGATCTTGCTTTTCAGGTTTGTGGCTATACATAAATTTGCAGCAGCAAACAATTGAAGTTACTTACTTCATGTTTTTAATACAAACATAATACGCAAGTGCAGGTGCCAGAACTGCCACTGTACCAAACCAGAGCAGAATAAACAAGGATAATCTACTTTTTGAAGGAAGTTATTTTCAAAATTACGTGTTGCAAATGAAATCACAGAAGTTGTAAGAAATACTTGTAGCAAGTGGTATTATCAGAAAAGCAGCCCACTGATCCACAAGATAAAACTGGAGTCAGACTACTAAACCTGCATTTGAGAACATCAGCTGCTTCTGCAGAGAGAACTTCTTCACTCTGGTTTATGAATCTAGTTTAATTCAACGAGTAGTTCATTCAAAGCTGAGACAGTATGGGGAGTTAAAGGAGGGGAAAATTACCTTTTTCTTCATCAAACTTATAAAAAGAGTTGAAAAGGGGAGACAATCTCCTATCACAATGCCCTCAAGGGAAAGGATGGTGTGTGGTAATCTGCTCAACTCTCTAATTAGAGCTGATGTTTACAGGTAAGACACAGTCTGACTAACTTAATTGGATATATTGAAAAAAGAAACCACACTTAGGTAAAAGAGAAGTTTAAAGCTTTTTGCATTTACAGCTGAATAAAATAACCTAGGAGGAAACCACAAACACATCACTATTTGAGTTCTGCTTTTTACTTTTAGATCAGAGTAACTACTGAATAGCTGTACAAATCTAACCTGTTTTACTGAAAATTTTCTCAAGTAATGATAATTTTTTTTCCTCCTGAGGTGCTAAATTAATTTAACCAAAGGAAGAATTGAAAAAACTATGCAGTCAGAACACTTGCAGACAGATATGTTGGAGGTAGCAGGCTGCACTTCTCTCCTCCACACCATTTTTTTCTTTGATTCTGTCCAAATCAATCTCTGCTAAATCCTTTTTTTCCCCCTCTGAACAGCCTCTCCCCTACAGTCTCTGTCTTCTCTAGAAAGCTAGGCTTTTCCTTTCAGACTCCATCTCACCTTTAATATTCCGTCTTCCTGTAGAGCTAACTCCCCACCACTACTTCCTCATTACTGCTGTACAGAAACAATACCCTTGGTTTTTCCCAGCTGACCTTCTACACAATATCTCAAATTTGTCTGGCCACAGCAGTATCAGAGTCTTGCAGGTCATTTCCAATACAGCAGGAAGTATGCTCTATTGCCTTTCCTCCTTCCCAGTGAGCAAAAATCCAGCTTATAATAAATTTATCTTTTCATGTTATTCTACCGTATCTATTCACAGTAGCAAACTCTCCATCTAAAGGTACCTGTCCTCTGCATTTATTAAATCATGAGCCCCATCACCACACAGTTTCTAGCAAGTATCAGAACTATACTGGTACAGGAAATTAAAATATTTATGTTTTGAAGCAAGTTTCTATATGCTGAAGGTCTGAAACATCATCTGAGAATCACTGCAGTTCTTTCCCCCTTGACAAAAAATATGATGAGTTACACATTCTTTCATTTCTTTGGGTTACCAGTTGAGACATCACACATTAGGCAGTATGCATTAATACTACAACAAAAGCTGCACATAAAACAACTGGTATTTGGTGCTGTGTCTGCTTTTCACTCTGTGCTGAACTTTTAAACTTTAAAATAATCATCCTGTATGGCTCTACTGTTCTTAAAGATAAACCAAAATGTTTACAAATAAGCCTAACCTGGTTTCGAGCTTGAACTCGGCAAGCTTACTTCTGAGCTCTTCTCTGGTCATCCTGTTGATATAACCATTAGTTATAGCAATTTCTTTGTAAACAGGATCACTGAAGTCATTCGAACTGGCCGTTGATGTTTTGCCATTAGTTTCTTGATCATTGATCCTACAGTGCTGCCTACCCTAAAAAAAAGAGAAATCAGAAAGTCATTTAAGAAGGTCAAAACAAAAACTCAGAGCATTTTACAAATCGTTTTGGCACCAAAATGCAGTAAAGCATCACGCTGTTACACTTGTGATCAAACTGAGCGAACTAGCTTATAGCTGGGTAAGAAAATCAACACTGAAGCCTGCTCTGAAACACGATGTTCCTAAAAAGCAACAAGCAATAAAAGGATACTAATGCACGTGTCTTTTGCCATGCCAAACAGCAGCTCTCTGAGACAAAACTTGAATGAGCATCCCAATTTCAACAGAAAAAAAGCGAGTTCTCTGGTGCGAGCTGGCAAAGTCTTCACCAGCACCAAGAGGCCTCTCTCGACACCTTAACTAATCAGAATCCACGCTGACTGGGACACAATAAACCGTGATGAAAAACCCGGGGTACTTGGGCTCCGACCGCCCCCTGCGCGGGCCTTTGCGGGAGCGCGCCACACGGCGGGGCCGCCGGGCGCGGGCGGCGCCCTGGGAGGTTGCGAGCGACGGGAGGCCGCCGGGCGGACGGGCAGGCCGGGCGGACCCGAGGCGCGGGCCGGGGAGGTTAGGCTGGGCCGCATGGGCGGGCGGAGGTTGCGCGGGCCCGGGGCGGGCCAGGCGGGCCAGCCCGCCCCGCCCCGCCCCACGCACTCCACGGCGACGCAGCATGCGCGGGGCGGGGCGGCGCCGGCGCTTCGTCCGGGGGCCTCCGGGCGGTTCTCCTTCGCTCTTCCATGGCGGCAGCGGGCGGGAACCACGCGGGACGGCGGCCGGCGAGCGCGTTTGCACCGCCCCTGGGCGGGCTGCTACACCGCCGCGGCCTTCGCCACCGCATAGGCGCGAGCGAGACCGCACGCGCGCGGACCCCGCCTCCCAGCTCCCCCCGCCCCCGGCCGCCTCTTCCCGGCTGTCCCGTCAGCCCCCGGCCCTACTCCTCTGCTGCAGCGCCTCCGCCTCGTGCTCCTGCCTCTCTCCTCCTGAGCTTTCGCCCGGCAGTCCCGCCTGGGCTTGGGGTCACGGCAGCTCTCTGCAAGCTCTGCCTGTGTTACGGGAAACACGCTGGACAGACACCTCATCTGTGCTTCCGTGTTCCTTCTCTTGAGACTGACTTTGCGCAGGGCACCCTAAACACGGCTCTGGGATACCCGTGGAACGTGGGGCAGCCAGGTCACGGCCTCCAGGACGACTCAGCTGGCCCCCAGCCCCTTCCTGCCAGGGAAGTTGCCTTGCCTGCTCTTCCCGGCATCCCTTAATTCAGTCAGCAAGCAGGGTGGGGTGGGTGGCATAAGACATGTGAGCCCTCTGGGTCTTCTTGGCCAGGAGGTGAAGGCAAGCAGAGAGGCCTCTCTGTTCATCACGGGGCAGTTAATTTTCTGCTGGTGCTTCCCACAACCCTGAAATGTAGTCCAGTGTCCCTCAGTGATGCAGGCTGACGCACATGTCACCCACCTGATGCAACCGTGCTGATGCCTCCACATCTGCCAGCCACTAAGCATCTTAGAATCTTCTCATCTGCCCTGCTGTGGCTGGGACCCCACCACCCACCCGCAGCCATGCCTCCTGCCCCATTCTGGCATGACAGCATCTTTTTACAGATGCAGATATTGCTTCCCTTAGACCTGTTGTGTTCGGTGTGTGTGCCACAGAGGTCTGTCTTGTCTTCTCCAGATGAGAGAGGTGGTGGAAGTGGGGTCACACACAGTTGCTCTGTAGGTTTCCTGGTTTCATCTAGGATAGTTAATTTTCTTCTTAGAGCTGGTGCAGTGCTGTGTTTTTTTGGATTTAGTACAAGAATGTGGATGACACACTGATGATTTAGTTGTTTCTCAGTAGTGCTTACTCTCTAAGTCAAGGACTTTTCAGTTTCCCATGAGAAGGTGGACAAGCTGGGGAGGGAGCATGGCCAGGACAGCTGACTTGAACTAGCCAAAGGCATATTCCATACTACAGAGCATCATGTCAGTTTATAAAGTGAGGGGGGTGGGAGTTGGCTGGGAGCTGCTGATTGCTGCTGGAGGACAGGCTGGGCATCAGTCAGTGAGTGGGTGGTGAGACACTGTATGTGCATCACTTGTCTTTCTTGGGTTTTATTCCTCTCTCATTACAATTATTATCATTAGTATTATCATATTTTACTTTGTTTCCATTATTAAACTGCTCTTATCGCAATCCACGCCTTTTATTTTTTTCCCTATTCACTTCCCCACCGGGGGGTGGTGGTGAGCAAGCAGCTGTGTGGTGCTTAGTTGCCAGCGGGGGTTAAACCACGGCAGTGGGAGGGGACTCGCTCCCTCTTTTAAAAAATTCACCCTCCTAGTGCTGCCGCTAACGCCCCTGTTGCCAAGCAGAGGCCCACCTGCCTTACTGCTCTGCCTCCGAACCCTGCTATGAACTTGAGCAGGATTTGCAGGGAACCAAGCTCTACAAGAATGCAAACATGGTACCAATGTGAGGCACTGAGCTGGCATCACAAACCCACAAAACACCCTAAATGCAGTGGGGGAAAAAGCTGTTTGCCAGAAATCACCTGCCTTGCTGGACTCGGCAATGGTTCATCAATACTAATCCAAACACGGGGCTCTATGCTCAGATTCACTCGATGCGAAATCTCTTGATGATTCTGCTAACAGCACAGATCTACAAGATCTAGGTGCAGACCACTCCAGAGGCAGAGCCCAAGGAGGCACCGTAAGAGGAAAAAGAAACCACACAGCCAGGACTCTCCTGGAGATTGAGATCACTTTTATTTTCAGTCATTTTGGCGAGGATGTGTGGGCAAGTGTGGGTGTATTGCGTGTATGTCTGGGCATGCATGTCTGTGTGTGTGCGCAGAGTCCTGCCCAGTGATGTAGATTATATGAATACCTGCAATTACAGTCCATGAACTGAGCCATGAAGCGTGTGATGAGTGCTACACTGAGGCCCACTTACTTGCCTCTTCTTGTGCTTACTGCAGTGCAGCATCTCCACCTCCCCACACTGCTGTTCCAAGGATGCCGGCCCAAGATCCCATCCAAAAGGTGCGAGAAGAACCAAGCTCCGGGATCTGGCTCTGCAGGAGTGAGCCAGTGGGTTTTCGCCTCACTTAGTGAGCTCCTAAATAACATTTGCAGTTCCCTTTGACAAAACCATATCTGTCTCCTCACAATGAGAAGCCTCTACTGCTTTGACAAATTTTAACTGCCTCAGAGGTACAAAGGGGAAGGGGACCCACGTAAGCTCCAGTGCTACAGCACAGCCAAGCACATCTTGAGTTCCGGGGAAAGCAGTACCCAAATACACTATTGAGTTTTCACAGCCACCATGAAACTGTGGCATGGGGGATGCTGCAAGGGATATGACCCATGCTTCTGCAGCTCCCAGTCTCTTCCATCTGATCTGAGAGACCATAAGGCATGTTAAACCCCAATCTAGTCTCTATTTCTGTTTAACTTTTTAAAGCTGAATCCCCCAAGCTCAGAGCAGAGACAGAATGCAGAAAAAACAGCACTGCTATGGAAGGAGACTAGTCAAAGGCATCCTGGCCCTGTGGCAGGCTGGAAACAACCTTGTTTCTCTGACCTTTTTGCCTTTAGCACAGTTAAGGCAGAAGTGTCCCACCACCCAGGACCCTCTACAGCTTCTGGAAGCCTCCAAGTACCCCTGCAAGCCCTAAGATGACCTAGATGGGCAGCATCATCCTTAGGGTTCCCTCTCACTCACCTCTACAGATCTGTATGCTGCTTAGGGACACGCAGTTTTTCACGTGTTACACAGACACAGTAGGCAAAGCTGTTATCCTGGGAATTTCACTTGGACGGATGCAGATTTGAATCCCAGGTTTTGCCTCAGAGCATAACACAAGGTACTCCAGGACATCTTCAAGTTGCTGTAAGTCCTGCAGTGCAAAGCAGCTCATCACCTCTGCTTCCAAACCTGCCTGCACCAGTTTCAGTAGGAAAACAACTGGTCAACAAGCAAGGGGTCTGCAAACCAATAAGCAAAACCAGCACAGTCCTCTCAAGTGAAGTAGGCATCTAGTACCAGATGCTCCTCGTATTCCAAAGAGGTTAGATTCATTGTCAGCTCCACAGGGAGACAACTGAGTCCCCAGTCCTTTCTGATCTCTTTATAATACACTTTGAGTAAAGGCTGCAGGGTGCTTCACAGAGGCCTTAGTCATTTTTAACAGTTCGGTAACTCTCCGAGCAGGGTCAAGAGCGGGAACGTAACATGCTTTGAACTCAGGTATCTGCTCTTGGGGCACTGCATTCAAGCCCTCTTTCCTTGTGGCTTAACTCATGAAAAATGACAGATCCTTCAAAAATACAGGGCTTGCATCCCTGGGGCTCAGGAATATTAAGTGGGATCTGAGGCAGGAGCTCAGCAAAGGGACACTATGATTCGAGGATGCATCCTTAAAAGACAGTGACAGCAAAATCAAAAGTACTATCAGCCACTTGGCTTGGTTCTCCTGCACTGATCTCCCACCTGGCAGTTGCAAAGGGGAGATGTTTTTGAACTGCATAGAAAATTAAATGGCTTTTGCATATTAAAAAAATTCAGATGAAAACACAGTTACACCAGCTACTAAACAGTGGGCGGATGAGCAATCACTGTTTCATATTAAATAGACCCAACTAGATCAACCTCTATACTGCCACACTCCCAGCATTACAGCTTCAGTGCACAGCAGCAGACTGAGTGCCTGCAAAGGCCAGCTAGTGCCGTGCTCCAGCGGAGGTGGCCCGGCCCGGCTGGAGGGCTGCAGTCCCAAGGAGCAGGCTGTAAGACGTCTGCTCTGTCCTCTCACTCCTTCAATGCTCACGCATCCCAGACCAGATGGGCACACTGGGAAACAGGCCTCCGGCTGGAAAAGGATTCCAGTTTGTGGTTTCTTTACAATGTGGTTTCCACGCAACGTCACAGCAACAAATCGCTAGTTTCTTCCTATGGAGAATGGAAAGAGAGGTGAGTAGCAGCAAAACAGGAGGAGAAGGCCACCCAGTATGGCAGGTGACACTAGGAATGCTCTAACACAAGTTCTGCCTATACCAGGGCCTTTCATGTCTCATGGGTAGCAAGACTTAGGACAAGGGAGTTTCCCAGCATTATTCCGGACACCATTCCAAGATCTCACCTCCCTTCCACTTCCTCCAGCCACCATAGGCAATTCTGAGTCCCCAGTTTACCCACAGCAACACAGAAGCACTGTTCTCACTGGCATAAGAAGGTTCAGTGCCAGAGGTAGCAGGTCAACATATGAAATCTGAGCCCAAGCTCCCTCCCAAGCTGGAATGATACCCTGAAGAGACACGAAGCTGACTGAGCTTTCATTTGGCAGCTTTCCCCCCCCGAAGTGAGGTACATGGCTTGATTTCTTCTACCTGGCCTCTGCAATCTCCCGCTAGAGTGG